AATGGCCTTGCAGAATCTTTGATTAAACGTCTGCAATTAATTGAACCCCATTGCAATTAGTTTTGGGTCATGAACCTAATATATCCCATCTAAGAATTTTTGGATGCGCTGTATATGTGCCTGTAGCACCGCCATATCGCATCAAGATGGGTCCCCAAAGAAGGTTAGTCTTACCCTAATGTCTTTCCTTGAAAATCTATCAAAAATCGCCTCTGCTCAAGCTCTAGTTTGTTAAAAATAGCAAATGGGACGAATGCCCTCTTTTATAAATCTGCCCAGGCAGCCTTCGGAACTGGGCCTCGATCGTGTCTTCGATCACAGGCTCGAGCCTGGACCTCGGTCATGGCCTCGATTATGGAATCGATCCTGGTCCTTCGGTCATGGCCTCGATCCTGGCATCAAGCCTGGACCTTCGATCATTTCCTCGATCATGGCATCGAGCCTGGGTCTTCAATCATGGCCTCGATCATGGCATCGATCCTGAGCCTCGTCTCTGGCTTTGACCCTGGCCGTCGACTCTGGGCTCGATATCTGGGTTCGATCACATCACAGAATATCCAGCAGAAGAGAAAAATTGCAGCAGCTTTTTAAGTCCAATTTTTGATCCGTTAACCATCCGAAACTCACCCGAGGCCCTCAGGACCTCAACCAAATATACCAACAAGTCCTAAAACATCATACGAACTTATTTGAAACCTCAAATCACATAAAACGACACTAAAATCATGAATTATGCTCCAATTCAAGCTTAATGTTACTTAGAATTTTCAACTTTTACATTCGATATCGAAACCTATCAAATCAAGTCCGATTGACCTCAAATTTTGTACACAAGTCATAAATGACATAACAGAGTTATGAAAAATTTTGGAAATGGATTCCAACTCCGATATCAAAAAGTCAACTCCCCGGTCAAACTTCCAAACTTAAATTCCTGTTTTAGCCATTTCAAGCCTAATTTCACTACGGACTTCCAAATAAAATTTCGATCACGTTCCTAAGTCCAAAATCACCATACGGATCTGTTGGAATCATCAAAATTCTATTCCGGACTCGTTTGCACATAATTCGACATCCGGTCACTATTTGACTTAAGCTTTTAAAACCATTAATTTTTCATCAAAATTTTATATCTCGGGCTAGGGACCTCGGAATTTGATTCCAGGCATAAGTCCAAGTCCTAAATCACGATACGGACCTACCGAAACTGTCAAAATACTGATCCGAGTCCGTTTGCTCAAAATGTTGACCAAAGTCAACTTAGTTGAGTTTTAAAGCTCTAATTCACATTTTAATCCATTTTTCACATAAAAACTTTCCGGAAAATTTTACAGACTGCGCCCCAAGTCGAGTAATGATAAATAGTTCTTTTCGAGGCCTTAGAACACAAAATTAATTATTAACTTTAAAGATGACATTTTGGATCATCACAGTTAGGAATATATGTTAGGTTTGAATCGTCCTCCATTATTCGCTACCTCGAAACATTAACGGAAGATTTGTTCACTGCTCGATTTGCAGATTGTTGATTCGATGAGGCATTTTTCCTAAAATTAGGGGGAGAAATTGGTAATATCAAATAGAACATTTTGTGGAAAAATCCATCATTGTCTCATCTTGATCCACGTGCCTCTATTTATGAAAAAAGAGGTGCAAAAGATTATCCATTTGCAGAAAATAGCAAATCAAATGCCAGATGCATTTACGGATCTGAAAGGGATAACGAAATTACATATCACTACAGAGAATGTTCCAATCCGTATTGATGTCCCTGTTGGACAATTTTTTAGTGTCATAGCTAATGAGTCAAAAGCACGCCTAAAGCGTGGCAGACCATTGTGTTCTAAGGATCGAAATCCTAGAAAAAGGAAAATAAATGATCAAGATGACTCTATGAAAGAGTCTCATAAAGAAACCTATGATTTAACCAATCTTGAGATTCATGAGGATATCGATGAGCCTGAGACTCAAGAAAATAAGAAACTATCAATAAATCCAATCGATATTGAGACAAATTTGAATCGATTGAATATAGTGGTGGATTATGTCTTTGCATACAATGTTGTATCTAGCATTATGCAAGATAATGAGGATCTTGAACCTCAATCTGTTGGAGAATGTCGACAAAGACGTGATTGGCCAAAATGGCAAGAAGCAATCCAATCTGAGTTGAATTCACTTGCGAAACGTGAAATTTTTTGGTCTGTAGCCCAAACACCTAATGGTGTTAAACTTGTTGGTTATAAATGGGTCTTTGTACGTAAAAGGAATGAGAAAAATAAGGTACAAAGATATAAGGCACGCCTTGTTGCACAAGGATTTTCACAAAGTCCTGGTGTCGATTATGAAGAGACGTATTCTCCTGTTATGGATGCTATAACGTTCCGTTATCTCATTAGTCTTGTTGTCCATGAAAAACTTGATATGCATTTAATGGATGTGGTTACAGCCTACCTTTACGGCTCACTTGATAATGAGATATACATGAAAATTCCCGAGGGATTTAAAATGCCTAACGCACATAATTCAAAGTCCAGAGAAATGTTTTCAATCAAATTGCAAAGATCTTTGTATGGTCTAAAGCAATCAGGAAGAATGTGGTATAACTGCCTTAGTAGTATTTATTAAAGGAAGGTTATATAAATGATGACATTTGTCCATGTATTTTTATAAAGAAAACATCGGAGTTTGTTGTACTTGCCATATATGTTGATGACATAAACATTATTGGAACTCGTATAGAACTCCAAAAGGAAATTGATCATTTAAAGAAGGAATTCGAGATGAAAGATTTCGGAAAGACAAAATTATGTCTTGGTTTGCAAATTGAACATTTGGCAAACGAAATTTTTGTTCAGCAATTAGCCTACATAGAAAAGGTATTAAAACGGTTTTACATGGATGGAGCATATTCATTAAGTACTCCGATGGTTGTTCGATCACTTGATGTGAATAAAGACTCGTTCCGACCTCAAAAAAAGAATGAAGAACTTCTTGGTCCTGAAGTACCATATCTTAGTGCAATTGGTGCACTAATGTATCTTGCTAACAGTACAAGGCCTGACATAACTTTTTCAGTCAATGTCTTAGCAAGATATAGCTCTTCTCCTACAAGGAGACATTGGAATGGAATCAAACACATATTGCGGTATCTAAAAGGGACTACCGATATGAGTTTATTTTATGGCAATGATTGCAGTACCGATCTTGTTGGTTATGCCGATACTGGGTATTTATCTGACCCACACAAGGCTCGATCTCAAACAGGCTATGTGTTTACATGTGGAGGCACTGCAATATCTTGGCGATCGACTAAGCAATCAATTGTGGCTACTTCATCTAATCATGCTGAGATAATTGTTATTCATGAAGCAAGTCGAGAATGTGTATAGTTGAGGTCTGTTATACACCTTATTCGAGACAAATGTGGCTTGAAGTGTGATAAACTACCCACAAATTTGTATGAAGACAATGCAGCATGCATAGCTCAATTGACGGGAGGATTCATAAAAGGAGATAGAACAAAGCACATTTCACCAAAGTTATTTTTCACACATGATCTTCAAAAGAATGATGATATCAGTATGCAACAGATCCGTTCAAGTGATAATATGGCTGATTTGTTCTCCAAATCTCTACCGACGTCAACCTTCAAGAAACTAGAGTACAAGATTGGGATGCGAAGGCTCAAGGATGTGAATTGATGCTCTCATCAGGGGGAGTTAATACGCGATGCACTCTTTTTTCCGTACAAGGTTTTGTCCCACTGGGTTTTTCTTTCTAAACATGTGTACTCTTTTTCCTTCACTAGGATTTTTTTTTCTCTAATAAGGTTTTAACGATGCACATTATCTATGGACATCCAAGGGGGAGTGTTATAAGAAATATCAAATTATGGTGGATGTCTACTCTTCCTCCATGATATTCATCTCAAATGCTTAATGACATATTCAATGACATATTTTCTATGTTTAATGACATATTCAATGACATATTTTCTTCACTTTTCATGCCTATATAAAGGCCTTGTAATAGATAGGAAAATATACACAATTGAAGAAGAAATAAGAATCTCTCCTCTCTTTCTCTCTATATCTCTTAGCTTGTTTTTTCTTGATCCATATTGTTACTTTGAGTTATATTTTATAAGGAACATTATTTCTCTTTATAGCAACTTATATTTCAAATTGCTTTTATTTGATATTTCAAATTGCTTTATTTGATATTTCAAACATATCATTATTAGTTCTAATATGTACGCTCTTCATCCCAATTTATCTGTCGATGTTCTGATTTCAAGGGTCCGATGATTTTAATTTATCGTAATTTTTTCATATACTTTTTGAATATTTAGAATTGTTTATTATTTTGACTTATAATATTTTTTTATGTAATTTGCAAAAATATAAATTTTATTTTGAAAAATTAAAAATTTTATGTACAAATTAATGGTCAAAATCAAGAAGTTTAACTCTTTAAATTTGAATAGTACTAGTGTGCTACGTAGATTGGGAGGGAGTAGTAATATGGACAAGAGATGCAACTTTTTGACTTTTCTTTCTCACTTCTTCAATTTGGAAAGAGTTTTGTTTTGTGGGCAGGGCGGCCCAACCCCAAAGCTCTAAAAAATCCTTGCTTTTTTGGAACCCCAAAAATTACTCATGTAATATTATTTAATATCTATTTAAGTAATCACTTGCTTATCATTGAAGACAGATAAATCTTCTCAAACATTTGATGTTAACTTGTCTCTTTTCATTATAATCACATAATTTCAATAGACTTCATACAATATAAATAAGAATAAACTATATATGGATTTTATATCCAAGTTTACGGTCTCTAGTTAAAATTTGACTTTATCTCAACTATTTTATTAAGCTGCCCCTTACGTGGGGCGGGGTTCTACTTTCAATTGCAAATTGCACTATCGTGTAATAGCTTCTAGTTCATTTTTATAGGTATATGTAATAGCTTCTATTTCATTTTCTTGGGTATATGTAATAGCTTCCAGTTCATCTTTGTCTAAAAAATTAAGAGTTGTCGAACTGCAGTATGAACATATTGGGATGGGCGGTGATGGCAGCTATTGGATGCAATGCAGCTATAAGGTTTGACATAAATCCAAAATGACTATATTAGTAGTAAGACAAGAGTAGTTCTCTTCTACATTCTTACATGAAAAATAAGATGATGCAAAATTTTCAGCGTGAGAGTGTCAAATGAACTCGGGGCAGCTCATCCAAGAACGGCTAAATTTTCAGTGGTGGTGGTGGTAGTATCCTCATTCTTGATTGGCCTTCTTCTATCGGTCTTTTTACTTGTCTTTCGAAGGCAATATCCTACCTTATTCGCGGAGAGTGAATCAGTCAAGCGTCTTGTCTATGAGCTAACACCATTACTTGCATTCTGCATAGTGGTTAACAACATTCAGCCAGCTCTATCTGGTGTGGCAATTGGAGCAGGATGGCAAGCTTTGGTTGCTTATGTCAATATTGCTTGTTACTATTTGTTTGGTATTCCACTGGGTTTACTATTAGGGTATAAGCTCAATATGGGTGTCCAAGTAAGTGTAACATGTCATTTTGTAAAGCTACTTAATTATTTTTTCTTGTTTTGAGTGGTCCTTTCGTTTAACATATTATTTTCATTTTTTGTTTATGATGTCAGGGTATTTGGTATGGAATGGTTAGCGGAACTCTGATTCAAACTTTCGCCTTATTTTGGATAGTTTACAAAACCAGCTGGAACAAAGAGGTAACTTGAAAAATACTAATCCCTTCTGAGTTAATGAACAAATCAAATAATTGTTACACATCACCTAAAGGTAGTTACATATAATATCCATAATAAGTTGATTAATCTAATAAATAAGGTAAAATTTTCTTTTTAATCATAAGGCATTAAAATAGGATAAATAACATAAATTGGTTGTGTGAAAATTCTTTATTCATCCATTCTTCCCTTGTGATTCAATTGCCTCGATTCCCTCCTCCATGCCCAAACCCAAAAACAAATTGTCCCAGTTTGATTTACAAAAAAGATTTGGAGACGACTGGGAAATATGTCCCAATTTCCTTGTCCAAATCCTTTTAATTTCAATGTGTAGTTGTCTAAAACTATTAAAATATATTTCCATACTATTGAGAAACAAACATATGTACATTAAATTTCAATTGTTGCTATTTGTACGATCACCAACCATCATCGCGTTGCACCCAAACCCACCAATTATCACCATTGTTATGCTGCAACAACTTTATGACGATACATTTATAGCATGGTCTTTATAAAATAACATGTAGGCGTCATATACAAAACGGCCATATCTATTGGGCTCATTACCATCACATTTCCATCAACTACTTGGGCTTAATTCCCAAGTACATATTGGGCTTCACTGTCTATCCAAGTTTTGTAACACAGTTAGTTTTGGATTTTCCTTTTTGTAAATTGCAGGCTTCTATTGCAGCAGAGAGGATAAAAATGTGGGGAGGGGAATCAAATGGAAAGGCCGATGATGCAGAGAAATGAACTGCGATTTGGAGTCATTGCATTAAGCTCATCAAGTGTATATGAAGAAATTTTGAAAATTTAAGTTGCTTATTGTTCAATGTAACAGCTCAGTAGTACTAGTGTTAATCATTGTAAGGAACTTTGCCAAAATTATTCTCAACTTGAAAGTGGACAAGACCCTTGATAAGTTAGCTTTTAGCTAATTTTTCTAGTGTTTTGATATAGCTTTACGCCCCATTTGTCAGAATTAATTGATTAATTATGCTTTGAATGATGAGTTTCGGTATATGAAGTAATGGAAGTGCCTAGAGGAAATAAAAGCATAAAAAACATGCATGAGAATTGTGAATTGAAGCTTAAAAGTGTTAAAAGAATGAAGGAAGAAAAGGTGAAGATGTGCGTATACGCTCCCTTCTTTCATAGCTACACTACTAAGGACATGGAAGATGAAAATGTTGAGAGCTTATGAAATTAGCTACGCTAACTACCTACGCCAACTAAAGACCTGAAGCCATGCTACAGAAAGCTGTTATGCGTAGCTACGCACCACTTTTTGCATACGTAGCAACTGTCATGGGCTGCTTTCCATCATAGACCCATGACCCCTTGGACGCGCCCCGTGGCATCCCGGCAAGCCTACCAACGCCTAGCGCCAAGGTCGGCACCGTGGTCTCGGCAGCACCAAGTGACAAGCGCCCAGCGGCTGGCAAATGCCATCAGTTCCACTTGCACTGACAATGCCGCGCGCACAAACCATCATGTTGCCAAAAGCACCGCAAGCACAGACAGTGCCCCGCGCGCAGATCTAATTCCAAGCACCAGCGCCCAGCCACTGGCAGATCCAAATAGTGCCGCGCGCGCCCACAACAATGCGCGCGTAGACCCTGCAGCTCAAGACAAAGTTGCTGCCATCAGACTTGCTTCCATAGAAGACTAAGTCCTTTTCATTGTAATTATAGAGTAGTTTTACTTCATTCATTTTCAGTGTGCTTCTACAGCTTTATTAGGTCAACTCATGTAACTTTGGTTTATTTTTTTTAAGAATTATTAAGGGGGACCAAAGCATTCAAACATTCAAGCATTCAAACAATTCTCTGTAGTGGTGTCTCTCCCCCCGACACCGCATTGCATCTTGTAATAGCTTTCATCATCATCAATACAATCATCGGCTTTCATCACCAATTGCTCATTTTTCGCTGCTCAATTACTCACGACATTGGTTTTCCCGTATGGCACTGACAATCTAGTCTAGCGTACGGAGATGACCTCAGTTGGCGCACAGCAACCGCACTGACATCGGTTTCTTAGCTTTACGTCGCCCTTCCAAGGAACTTTAGGAAGGCGCCGCGTAACAGTTGGTATCAGAGCCTAGGCTCGACATCGGACAAGGGAACTCATTGCCATCATCATCACCATTTCTGACCATGGTGAATTACGAGGATCGCATCACGACCCTAGAACAGACGGTTGACGCATTACGGCCCATCGTCGATACGTTGCCTGATCTAAAAGCCAGCCTAGTGCAAAGGATGGGTGACCTGGACTGCAGAATGCGGCAGACAGAAATTGACATAGTAAACATCAGTCACGACTCTGAGGAAGACCGGGAAACGGCTGCCGTCGAGGCAACCAAAATTCATGGCAAATTCGAGGACCTCCAACAGGAGCGTGCCGAGGATTTAGCCCATCGGAAACTAGAGGCAGACGGACTGACCGTCATGCAACAAACCATAGACAACTTGACAGGCCAGTTCAATGTTGTCAATACTGCCCTTCAAAGCCTGCTCAAAGGGGGCAAAAACCACATCAGGGGTGCCATGAACATTGCCCCCATGCCACAAAAGCTGAAAATTCCGGAGCCCAAGCCATAAAATGGAGCCCGGGATGCTAAAGAAGTGGAAAACTTCATCTTCGACATAGAACATTACTTCGATGCCGTTGGATAGTTGGAGGAATCCAAAAAGGTAGCAATTGCTGCCATGTATCTTCAAGGCGATGCAAGACTCTGGTGGCGAGTCAAATACGAAGCCATCAGGGCTAGTGAAGATACTCTCAACACATGGGCAGAACTGAAGGCAGCCATACGCCTGCAGTTCTTCCCCGAAAATATGGAATACAATGCAGGGAGAAAGTTGCGTGAACTCCGCCACACCAGGTCGGTGCAGGACTACGTGCGTGAATTCTCCGCACTCATGCTAAACATACAGGATATAGGGGACAAAGACAAACTGTTCGCATTCATAGAAGGTTTGAAACCTCATGCTCGTATGGAGCTGCAAAGACAATGGATATATACCCTGCCCAAGGCCATTCAAGCTGCAGAGTGACTTGGGGCTTATCAGTTGGAAACTCAGAAGGATAGGCCCTAGCCGCCTGTCCGAGGGGGATACAACGGGAGCCAACCTAGCAACGGTGGCCCTAATAGAAACGGAGGAAATCGAGGTGCATCCAAATCTAAGACTCCTTCCTAAAGCAGCAACAGTGCTGCATCAGTCAACAACAATCACGGGAGAAAGCCCCCATCAGAATGCCGTCATTGCGGCGGGGAACATTGGAACAATCAATGCCCCAATACACAAATCAATGCTCAACAAACTATTGACGATGATGAGTCAGATCAGGACGGCTCAGTCGGCGTAGAACAAGTAGGTGCCTTCAACGCATTTGTTGGCTCCATTCATGATACCTTGGAGGGAACCAGTGCTGGCCACCCCAAGAGGAACGTATTCCCAATTGACAAGAAAGAGAAAGGAAAGGCGGATGATAGGCCTCTCTCATCGCAAAAGAGGACCCTAATATTTGTTGACATGAAAGTAAACAGCACACCTATTCGGGCATTGATAGACACGGGTGCTAGCCACAACTACCTGGCCTCAACTCAGGTGCAACGCCTCGATCAAGCAGTGCAAAAATGCAAGGGTCGTGTCAAGGCTATCAACTCTCCATCTCAGCCAGTGAGTGGAATAGCCAAAGAAGTGCCAATGAAGCTTGGCCCATATAAGGGAATATTCGACCTACGCATAGCTATCATCGATGACTTCGAACTGATAGTGGGATTGGAATTCCTCAGGAAAACAAACACAATCCCGGTACCATATGCCAACATGCTCCTAATGATGGGAGACAACGGGGCCAAACCCCGCACCATACCGTGCATACCCATAAAGATGTCCGCTGGAAACATCTCGGCCATGTAGTTAAAGAAGGGAACCAACAGACCTGAAACTACGGTTCTGGCTGCCGTCAACATCATCAATCAAACATAAGATCATCGGCGTCCAACAGCTCATGGCGCCCCTCATTATGTGAAGACTTGTCAAGCATTCCAAAAGGACAAGTCGGATCACTCAGCACAAGCGGGACTCTTGGAGCCGCTGCCTGTCCCACAGAGACCTTGGGAAAGCATTTCCCTGAATTTCATCACAGGATTACCCAAGGTCAGAAATCATGCAACCATCATGGTAGTAGTAGACCAATTTTCCAAGTATGCTACCTTCATCACAGCCCCACAGAACATATCGTCAAAAGATACAACTCGACTCTTCTTTTATCATGTTGTCAAACATTGGGGTATGCCCAGCAACATCATTAGTGACTGCGACCCACGCTTCACTAGCAAATTTTGGACCCAACTCTTCAGTTGCCTCGGATCCAAATTGAGTTATAACTTAAGCCATCATTATCAGCAAGCTTATGATCAAACAGACCGGTTCAATGACATGCTGGAGGAATATCTCTGCCAATTTGCAACCGGGTCACAAACACATTGGGTGAAGCTTCTGGATGCTGCTCAGCTGTGTTTCAATTCACAAAAGTGTGCCCATACAAACAAAAGCGCTTTTGAAATTGTTATCGGACATCAACCACTACTCCCATAGAATATGAATGCACCAAACATGCCAACATCTCATCGAGCTGCCAGTTTCTTGACAGAATGGGAGCAAACTTTGAAGATAGTACAGAGCTATCTTGTCAAAGCCCAAGACAAGGCAATGAGGTTTGCCGAACAAAACCTTCGCTTTGCCTAACATCAAGTAGGGGACAAAGTGATGGTAAGAACCCCGAGGCGGAACTTATTTGCAAAGAGGACCCAAGATCCTCGCCTATTGCAAAGCTACATCGGGCCTTTTTCCATTGAAAGGCGCATCGGGAAATCCACATACCAGCTGAACACACTAGCCTGGTGAAAACTCCATCCAGTCTTCCATGTCAGCCGCCTCAGTCCAATTCAGTAATACATAGAAGATCATTCAGAAAGACATCTCACAACACCGAGGGGAACAGACCTCCTAGCCAACAAGAGCCTAACCAATCATCATCATCCTGCAGGTAAGGCTCCGAGGACGTCACCAACTCAGGTGGGGGAGAATGTCATGGGCTGCTTTCCAAATACTGCCGCGCGCGCCCACAACAATGCGTGCGCAGACCCTGCTGCTCAAGACAAAGTTGCTGCCATCGGACTTGCTTCCATAGAAGACTAAGTCCTTTTCATTGTAATTATAGAGTAGTTTTACTTCATTCATTTTCAGTGTGCTTTTACAGCTTTGTTAGGTCAACTCAAGTAACTTTGGTTTATTTTTTTTGAGCATTATTAAGGGGGACCAAAGCATTCAAACATTCAAGCATTCAAACAATTCTCTGTACTGGTGTCTCTCCCCCCCGACACCGCATTGCATCTTGTAATAGCTTTCATCATCATCAATACAATCATCAGCTTTCATCATCAATTGCTCATTTTCCGCTGCTCAATTGCTCATGACATTGGTTTTCCCGTACGACCCTGACAATCTAGTCTAGCTTATGGAGGGGACCTCAGTTGGCGCATAGCAACCGCACTAACATCGGTTGCTTAGCCTTACGTCGCCCTTCTAAGGAACTTCAGGAAGGCGCCGTGTAACAGTACGCATGCATCCGGGGGGCAGTTTTGTCATAATTTTTAGACGACTATAAATAGATTTCTAGCTGGATTTCTTAGGTCATCTTTAATTCTCTGGTACTCTACAACAACTTTTGAGCTATTTTGGGAAGGATTGGGAGATCAACAACACTTTTGTTTGAATATTCTTACAACTTTAGTCTTTAATTATGCTTATGTTCTTATTTCATCTTGTATTTTTCATTTTTAGTATGAGTAACTAATTTCTTAAGCTAGTATTGTGAATCCTAAGTGGGGTTATGCTTTTGGATTGTTAATATAAATTCGAAGTTTGATTAAGCTTTGTGTTATCTAATTACTCCATGCTTTATTGATTGATTTTGTGGTTGCA